TTGCTGTTGCTGCTGCTGCTGCTGCTGCTGCTGCTGCTCGTGCTGCTGCTGCTCTTGCTGCTGCTGCTGCTGCTGCTGCTGCTGCTGCTGCAGGTAGGACGCGGGTGCGATCGAGAAGAGGCCGCATGCGTTATGAAGGCCAGCAGCAGCAATGACCCCGCTTATATTTATTTGTTTTTTTGTTTTTCTTTTTTCTCCTCTCTCTGCAGCAGCAGCAGCAGCAGCAGCAGCAGTAGGCACTGCTGCTGCTGCTGCTCCTGTTGCTCATAGGCTTTAGATTCTGTGGGAGCAGCAGCAGCAGCAGCAACTGCAGCAGCAGCAGCAGCAGCAAGTGGTGCAACTCCTCCTATGGCAAGGCCAGCAGGACAACAACCGCAGCAGCAACAGCAGCAACAGCAACAGCAGCAACAGCAGCAGCAGCAACAGCAGCAGCAGCAACAGCAGCAGCAACATCAGCAACAGCAGCAACAGCAGCAGCTGCTGCTGCTTATATTATGATGCTCCTGCAGGAAAGCGTTTGCTGCGTTTTTTGTTTTTGTTTTTTACTTTTTATGTTCACTTCCCTCCGCCCCTTACCTCCACTCGGCGTGCATGCATGCATGCATGCATGCATGCATGCATGCACTCTCAGCTGCATGCATGCACACATGCATGCATGTACTCTCAGCTGCATGCATGCATGCATGCCTGTACTTTCAGCTGCATGCATGCATGCATGCATGCATGCATGCGCAGAAGCATGCATACACTCTCAGCTGCATGCATGCATGCATGCATGGACCAAGTGCATGCATGCTGCTGTCTCCTCTTGTTTGTTCCGCTCCGTGTTTTGGGGGCCCCCGCAGTATCCTTTGGGGGCCCCCCACTGTACCCTGCTTGAGGTATCAAGGGGCCCCAGGGGCCCCCCTGCTGTACCCTATATAACTTAGTGGGGGGCCCTAGGGGCCCCCCCCAGTGTACCCTGTCTAGCGTATAGAGGGGCCCTGGGGGCCCCCCTGCTGTACCCTATCTAACTTAGTGGGGGGCCCTAGGGGCCCCCCAGTGTACCCTGGCTTAGCTAGTGAGGCTTCCGTACCCTTTCTAACATATAGAGGAGCCCTAGGGGCCCCCCACTTTACCCTGTCTACCCTGGGGGCCCCTGGGGCCCTGGGGGCCCCCCACTGTACCCTGTCTACCCTGGGGGCCCCTAGGGGGCCCCCCCTACCAATGTGTGTACCCGAGTCTTTACAAGCCGGCACGGGGGGCCCCCTCTGTACCCTAGCTGCTTCGGGGGCCCCCTCTGTACCCTAGCTGCATTGGGGGCCCCCTGTGTACTCTATGTGCCTTGGGGGCCCCCTGTGTACCCTATGGGGGGCCCCTGCGTACCCTATGAGCCTGGGGGGCCCCCTAGGTACCCTTTGGGGGCCCCCCGTGTACCCTATGAGCCTGGGGGGCCCCCTGATGTGTTGGGGGCCCCTGGTGAGGGTACAGCCGAGTGTAGGGCCTTTTGTTTTGTCTCCTGCAGAGACAGATTAAGAGACAGGCAATACAATAAAAGGAGACAGAGAGAGAGACAGAGAGAGAGAGACAGAGAGAGAGACAGAGAGAGATAGAGACAAAGACAGAGAGACAGAGACAAAGAGAGAGACAGAGACAGAGAGAGAGACGGAGAGAGAGACAGAGAGAGACAGAGACAGAGAGAGACAGAGGGAGACAGAGGGAGAGAGAGAGACAGACAGAGACAGAGAGAGACAAAGAGACAGAGGGAGACAGAGAGACAAAGACAGACAGAGAGGGAGAAAAAGATAGATAGAGAAAGACAAAGAGAGACGGAGAAAGAGAAGAGAGACAAAGAGAGAGAGAGAGAGAGACAGCAGCCTCAGGTGTATAGGCAGCTCAGAAGGGGGGCTGTCTATCCCCGTCGAGGGTTTAGGGTTTAGGGTTTAGGGTATGTTGCTTAGCGCGGTCTAGGGTCTAGGGTTTAGGGTTTAGGGTTTGGTTTGCATGCTAGGGTTTATGGAGGGTTTAGGGTTTGAGGGGTATAAAAGACAAAACCCCCACAGCTCGAGGGTTTAGGGTTTAGGGTTTAGGGTTTACAACAAACAACAACTACTACACTCTAGGGTTTAGGGTTTAGGGTTTAGGGTTTAGG